TCCTCCTCCTCATCCTCCTCCTCTTTCTCCTCCTCCTCCTCCTCCTCCTCCTCCTCCTCCTCCTCCTGTCCCCTCTCCGTTTCTCCTCTCTCCTCCTCCCTCCTCCTAGTGTTCCTGCTTGCGTTCGGTGAGATACAGCCGGCCAGGGGCCGTATCGGCGCCCAACGACGTTGGCGCAGGACTTGCCAGTGCAGCAGGTGTCCCAAGACCCCCGAAAGGGGACATGCCACCCCCAGTCCCTGAGACGAAGCATCGGGAATCTCTGAGATCCGGCGGCTCTGGAGGATGTCTCGGGCGCCGCGGCCTTCTCAAAGCGTCCAGGCACGCTCTTGATGGGCCTGTTTTCCACCACCACCACCACCATCAGTTGGAGGGGGCAAGGAGGAGGACGACGAGGAGGAGGATGAGGAGGACGGAGAGGAGGAGGAGGTGGAGGAGGTGGAGGAGAAGGAGGAAGACCCCCTCCCCCTCTAACTTCTGGTGGTGGTGGTGAAAAACATGCCCATCAGCCCTGGACCGCACCTATCCTCGTCGTAGCCCCACCCGAGCTCTGCTGCCGTCGGCTTTGCCCCGCTGGTCGGTCTCGCGGAACCGGTCAGGCTGCCCAGCACGGAGCCGCGGCCAGGAGGCGCGCGAGCCCCGCGGCGATCGCAGATGGCGGCCCTCCTCCTCCTCCTCCTCCCTCCTCCTCTCCTTTCCTCCTCCTCCTCCTCCTCCCCTCCTCCTCCTCCTCCTCCTCCTCCTCCTCCTCCTCCTCCTCCTCCTCCTCCTCCTCCTCCTCCTCCTCCTCCTCCCTTTCCTCCTCCTCCTCCTCCTCCTCCCTTTCCTCCTCCTCCTCCTCCTCCTCCTCCTCCTCCTCCTCCTCCTCGTCCTGCTCCCCCTCCTCCTCCTCCCATTCCTCCTCCTCCTCCTCCTCCTCCTCCTCCTCCTCCTCCTCCTCCTCCTCCTCCTCCTCCTCCTCCAGGGCGGCGGTGCGCGCGGGACGCGGCGCCGCGCGCTGGGGCTCGTCGAGCTTGGGCTCAGATCGACGATCCTCAGGACGTGTGTTGGCGCCAGCATGCGGCCCCTTCCGGAAACCCTGAACCCAAAAACGCGCAGTTATCCCCTGGGGGCACATTTCTCACCTCCGCGGCCCTCCGCCGAGCTTCCGCCGGCGGAAGGCCGCCGCCGCTCTCCTTCCGCCGACCTTCCGCCGCCCTGCGCCGAGGAAGACGATGGCAGCCCTTTCTGTCCTCGGAGGCAGGGCCCTTTCTTAGGGGGCCACGTGCGAACCCTACCCCTACCCTCCTTGGCTTCCGAGTGGGAGGGTGGGGTTCACTTCGCTCGGGAGCTCCCGAGCGAAGTGAGCCCCACCCTCCCCCTCCGAAATCATGGGGGTAGGGGTAGGGTTCGCATGTGGCCCCCTATGTTTGGAACGCCCCGCGTGTTGGCGCAACGATGGACCTTCGACACGACGAGGGCGGCACACCGAGGGCCGACACAGGGCTGCGCGCCGTCGGCGGAGCCGAACGGGAAACAGCCAGCCCGTGCCATAAGGATGCGCGCTGCGGATGCAGGGGCCGTGCCTTGGGCGCCCATCTCGAGGCTCTTCGGGCGGGGCGCGGCCAACGAAAACGGCCACGGATGGACCGAGGAGGCAAGGATGCAAGGATGCAAGGGTACTATACCCTTGGGAAGGCATCCCAACCTTACTCTGCGGGCCGACTGTATAGTCGAAATCTGTAGTAAGGACGGGACGGGCGGTAAGGACGCCAAGGCCTTGGACGCCGAAGTTGCTACTATTCTTGGCGGCGGACTGTCTGCACCCTGAAAAGCTGGCCAGTGGAAAGCGCGAAGGACGGGGCGCAGAGACAAGGGCGCAAGGATACCCACATTCGCGCGTCCTTACTGTGAGTTCGGACTGCATCCCCGACTTCGTGGGTCCCCGAATGGACCAACAGTGTGGTGCCCAATCCCCCCCCCCTCTTGTGAAGACGAGGCCAGGACGAGGACAGATTCGGTTGAGGAGAAATCGAGAGCCTCTGAGATTCGGCGGCTCTGCACGATGTCTCGGGCTCCGCGGCCGTCTCAGAACGTTCCAGAACGCTCTGAGAGCGTCTCGGAACGCTCTGGAACGGATTCATCCTCGTCCTAGCCCTGCCCGATTTTGTCCGACCCAACGCCCGCGGAGGCGGGGCAGAATCGATCAACATCCGTCTCGGGAAGCCAGTTCGACTCGGAACTCGCGTCGGATGGGGCTGCATCGGCACGGGACCCAAATCGAATCGGATCGGCTGCGCCAGGATGCACAGCAGCGCTATGCCAGCATGAAGCCGCATCGGATCGCCGGAACATCGGAATCGGATCGGATCGGATTGGCCAGAATCGATGTCGAATCGGCACGAAGAGGGCCCCTACGGACGAGGAGAAGGACGCGGAGGAGCACAACGAGGGATCCCTCCCAGGGGACCACCTGCGTTGCATCCCGACTCGCTTTTTGACGGTGCCGTGGGGCTCTCAGAAGAAGAAGCTTACAGGGCAGGATTTAATACATGTGATTTTTAAAAAATATGGGATTTAAGATCCGCCGACCCTGTCGGCGTGTGGAAGATGCTTTTCCGTTCGTCGTGAACGTCGTCGTCGTCGTCGCCGCCGTCGTCGTCGTCGTCGTCGTCGTCGTCGTCGTCGTCGTCGTCGTCGTCGTCGTCGTCGTCGTCGTCGTCGTCGTCGTCGTCGTCGTCGTCGTCGTCGTCGTCGTCGTCGTCGTCGTCGTCGTCGTCGTCGTCGTCGTCGTCGTCGTCGTCGTCGTCGTCGTCGTCGTCGTCGTCGTCCGTCGTCGTCGTCGTCGTCGTCCGTCGTCGTCGTCGTCGTCGTCGTCGTCGTCGTCGTCGTCGTCGTCGTCGTCGTCGTCGTCGTCGTCGTCGTCGTCGTCGTCGTCGTCGTCGTCGTCGTCGTCGTCGTCGATGCTCTTCCGTTCGTCGTCGTCGTCGTCGTCGTCGCCCTCCCCTCAGGCGCGCCAGCCAAAGCGAAACCAAAGCGAAATCGAGCAACGTCGTAACTGAGTCGAAGGCAAAGCGAAATTGAGCAACGTCGTAGCTGAGACGAAGGGAAGCCCCTTCGAGGCCCCCAAGAGGCCCCTTCCGCCACATTAGAGAACGCATGGGTCGCCCTCCAGGGTCGGCGGCATCGGCCGTAAGGCCTTCGCAATACAGGGCTAATGTATGAATCAATGTATGCATGAACTCATCCTAGTATTTAATAATCAACCCTTTATGTTTAATACATAGTCCGCACGCGGAGCATGTATTAAAAACGGACCAAAAACCGCTGCGAAGACTGCAGCGAAGCGGGGGGGGGACTGGCTCGGGAGGGGAGAGCGGTGCCGTCGCACGGCGATGCCTCCCCGACAGCTCGGCGACGGGCCCTCGGCAACGAAAAACCGCGCAGGACCCTGTGCGAGCAGGGGAGGGGGTTGGCGCCCAGGCTCCTCCTCCTCCTCCTCCTCCTCCTCCTCCTCCTCCTCCTCCTCCTCCTCCTCCTCCCTCCCTCCCTCCCGCCCTCCCGCCCTCCCGCCCTCCCTCCCTCCCTCCCTCCCTCTCTTCCTCCTCCTCCTCCTCCTCCTCCTCCTCCTCCTCCTCCTCCTCCTCGTCCTCCTCCTCCTCCTCCGCTCCCGTTGTCGGGCACGCGCGGGCGTGGACTGCGCAGGCGCGGAGGTGGCGCGCGGGCGCCAGGCTCTCCCATGAGAGATTCGAAAGTATGTTGTCCCAGCCTCCCCCCTTCCAGGAGGAGGAGGAGGAGGAGGAGGAGGAGGAGGAGGAGGAGGACAAAGAGGAGGACGAACTCTCTCCCTCCCCCTCCCCTGATCCATCCCCTTCCCCCTCGTCCCCTTCCTCCTCGTCCCTCGTCCATCCCTCCGTCCCCCTCCCCTCATCCATCCCCTTCTCCCTCCCTCCCCCTCCCCTCATACATCCCCGCCCCCCTTGTCCCCCTCGTCCCCCTTCCTCCTCGTCCCCCTCGCGGGTGGACCAGGGACACAAAAGAGACCGAGACGAGGAGCCAGGACGAGGACAGCATCGGGCGTCGACGACTCGAGACTCTCCGCGAGCCGGCGGCTCTGCAGAAGGTCGACTCGGGCGCCGCGGCCTCCTCGGAGCGTGCCAGAACGCTCTTGATGGGCCTGTTTTCCACCACCACCACCACCATCAGTTGGAGGGAGCAAGGAGGAGGACGACGAGGAGAAGGAGGGGGACGAAGAGGAGGAGGAGGAGGAGGAGTAGGAGGAGGTGGACGAAGGAGCGCTCTGGAACGCTCTGGGCGGCACTCATCCTCGTCCTGCCCCCGTGCGGAAGTACCCCCAGAAGCAGGGAGTACCCCGTGCCGCCAGAAGCGGCGAGGAGCGCGCCGACGTGGCACGAGAGCGGGGCCCGCCGCCAGTCTGGAGAAGCCATAGGAGGTACCGATACCGCTGCTCCCCAAGCCTCTCCCGGGGTGCGTTTTCTGACCAGGAGCTCGAGGCGAATCCGGCCGTGTCGACGAGGGCCTCCCAGGAGGTCCAAACAAGGCGAAAACGAGAAGAGGGTAGCGGTATCAGTACCGTGCGGGCGCGGCCGCAAGAAACCCTCGAAAGAAACCAGACCCTGAAAACCCGCGCGCGAGGTGCCCCTGAGGGGAAGCCTGGAGCACCCTGAACGCAGCAGCTCCTTCAACGGCCGCGGGAAGTCACCGCGCAGCGCGCGGAGCGAAGAAGCCCAGGGTATCCTGACGACTAGCATATGGTTTCTTGTTGCGCGCCCCCACTATACAGTCGACCAGTATCATAAGGATGCACGATAGGGATGCGAGGGCCGTGGACGCCCACTCCGAAGCTTGTCGAGCGGGGCGCGGCCAACAGGAATGGCGAAGGATGGACCGAGGAGGCAAGGATGCAAGAGTACCCCTTGGGACGACCGCACATCCTCACAATGCCGTTTGACTGTACCTCGTCCTTCTCTTCAGCTCCCCTGCCCCCGCAGCGGGAGGTCCTCGGCCTCCTTGGCGCGCTGGTCCTCCATCGCCTCCAGCTCCGTCTGCGCCCTCTCCCTGTCGTCCTGGGGCCGGATGCTGCTCTTGGGGGGGGGGGCGCTGACACAGACGACGAGGACGACGAAGAGGACAACGACGAGACCGACGATGAAGACGAGATCGACGACGACGACGACGTTTCGACGACGTTTCGACGACGACGACGCTTCGACGACGTTTCGACGACGACGATTACATCGTAACGGGTCGCGTGGCGGTGCGATGACGTGGGTGCGCACGACGAGGCCACCTGCGGTGGCGCGCACGAGATGGGCAGATGGGCACAGGGGCGAGGGGGCGCGGCCTCGCTGAGAGGACTGCCCGCCCGAGATCCGAGGCGTCTGGCGGCAGGGTCTCTGCTCGACGGGAGGCCTGGAGAATCGGCACCAGCACCAACACAAGGGGGGCTGAGGTACCGTGTGGGGGCTCCCTGAGAAGGCCGGACGCCCGATCCGAGGCGTCTGGCGGCCAGGTCTCTGCTCGACGGGAGGCCTGGAAAATGTGCGCCCACCACCAACACCAACACAAGGGGGTTTGAGTACAGTCGGGGCGTTGACCTGAGGAACCCTAAATAAGGAACGAGGCCCCTTTTTTCCATAAGTCAACCTTCGATTTCCTGTCGAAAACATAAGGAAAGCCTGAGGCAAGCTGTGAAACACTTAAGGAACGCGGAGCCCATCCCTAACGAAAAGGGTTCCTTCTTCAGGGCCCCGACTGTACCATGTTGGCGACGAAAAGAAAGGGCCTTACGCGAGATGCCAGAGCCATAGCGACCTTACGCCGCGGCTTACGCGGGCCGCCGGCGTGGCACGCTGAATTGGATACGAGGGCGCTTACGCGCGATCCTGCGCGGGGAGCTTACGCGCCAATGACGGCGCAAACGATCCAGTTTGTTTCTGCGTCGCTCATGTGGGGCCTGCTCTAAGAAAAGAGCATATCGTAGACGGAACTACCCTTGCTCCGACCTCATGCTACGCCGAGGACATTCGTTTTTTTCTATATGCGCGTCCACCCCGAATGTGTCCATATACGTCGCGGCACCCAATGTACCTGTAGACGCTTGTGGCTAGAAAGTGAGAACGGTAATTGGCAGATGCCCAAGATATTGGCCATCTAGAAGCAGGTGACTTTACCCTCCAGCACAACGGCTTGCCTCCACACGGGGAAGCTGATCCTATATTTCGGTGCTGGTGGTAATATCTGGGCCACTTAGGAAACCCGAGTTTTACCCCACATCACCGAGATCGCGAGCATCTACCCTCGGTTGAGTCACACCGCCGATTTAGTGTTGGTGTCAACTTACAGGCCTCCGATTCGAGGCGGCATGCACCCCAGGTAGCGCACCCCCAACCCCAAAGGCCTCGACCCCCTCCCGAGGTGACTTCTCTTCCTGAGATGCTTTATGACACCAGGTCGGACGAAGAGGGGGTTAGTAAAATTTAGATCCTGGTGTCGCAGTTTTTCACACCAGGTGATTTCGCCTTGTGTCGGGCCCAGGGCCCCCGCGGATCAATGCCGCGGGAGGATAGGGTCTGCGGGTCTGGTCATGATTTCTGACGGTGTTTCACTATTTTCGCGACGGGGGAGGGGGGGCAGTTCAGCTCACGCAGCTGATTTTCCCGCTGCCTCCCGACGCCTCCCGACGTAAATGTACCGAGAGAAGCGCCTGACGGCGGAGATGATACCGGCTACATGCAGCTGGGTTCGTACCCGCAGCTGAGCCCGTACCCCTCCTCTTTCGGGGACTGCGGGAAAAGGGTGGGGTTACGGGCCAGGGGGGGGTGCTGGCCAGGAAAATTGCCTTGGACTTGCTCCTGAAAGACTGACTGTCACTTGCTTGAATATCCTGAAACACGCAATGCTCAATTCATTCTCCACCCAAACGATTGCGTCGCGCACGTCCAGGGTCCTCTCGAGGCCTCTGGTGGCCCTTTGGGGGCCCTTCTGAAGGGGTAGTGGGTTCTTGTTGGGGCTCGGTGAAAGGATCGCGCGGCCCCAAGCATCGGTTCCCAGACCTGTTCTAGGGCACGCACTGATCGAAATTTGCGACGAGAAAGGCGAAGCCAGTGCAACAAGACTTCGAACCTCGATATCCGAAGGGAAGGGATCACAAGCTGCCGTGCACAGGCTGCGGCCTGGGACTTTGCCCCGTAGCTCCGAGCTGGAGCGCCAGGGGGGGCCCTGGCTGGGGGGGGGGGGCGCGAGACCTCGCAGGAGGGCACGAACGCGCGCAGGCTGCCGCACGCGGCCGCCGCAGGGGGGGCTTCGGTGCTGCGAAGGTCGACCTCGCCCACGATAAGACCAAGCCGGGGCGAGGGTAGCATCGCGTGAGGATAAATCGAGAATCCCTGAGAACCAGCGGCTCTGGAAGATGCATCGGGCGCCGCGGCCTTCTCGGAGCCTTTCGGATTTATATTCATCCCGGCCCCGGCCGCCTCGAGCCGATCGGGGAGCCCAGGCCCGCGCAATCGAGCATTAGGAGAAGCTGTCGCAGTCGACCAGCGGGGGCACGCGACCGGGCAGGCGCGAGGAGCGCGCGGGGCTTGAGGCGGCGGCAGTGGGCAAGGGCAGCGAGGGGAGCTGCTGGCAGCAGCGAGAGGTGCACGGTCAGGAGCTGTTGCTGGATTGTCGAGGCGGCGGCCCCGGCGACACGTGCTGCCCTGCAAGCGGCCAGCGTGTCGCTCCGCTCGAGGGAGCGGGAGACTTCGAAAGACTCGAGAGGTTGACGCTTGGAAGAGTAGGTGGATAGCGTGTCGTGCCGAAGCGTAGTGGGCCAGAACCAGCGGAGCGACACGCTAGGCAAACGCTCCTGACCGTGTTCGGAGCAAAGAGGGAGCGAGGGAGGAGAACAAGAGGAGCCGTCGGCACGAGCGCTGGGGAGAACAAGGGAACGAGGAGCTCCTTGAGCTTCTGGAGCTTGTCGTCGAGTTCCTTGGTCTCGGTGTCAAAGGTGTTCTGCCACTGCTCCTCAGAGTTGGGCAGGGGGGCCATGGAGCCAAGGTCGACACCCAAAGGGAGCGGAAGCAGAACCGTTAGCGGAAGCGGACCATCGGAGTCGTGCGCACTCCGATGAGGACCCTGCCCGTGTTCATTACGGCAGGAGGTAAAAGGTAGACCGCGAAGGGAGGAGGGAGGGGCAGGAGCAAGGTACAAGGAGAAGGGAGGACGGAGGGGCAGGAGTAAGGTACAAACAGAAGGGAGGACGGAGGGGGGACACAAAGGCTTGACTCTCATCCCTCCTCCCTCCTCGCCCCTCGCTCCTCATCTGTTCTATTCTCCATTCTTGGTTTATCACTCCTCCCTCTGCCACTTTCCTGTTGGTGGGCAGTTCAGCAAGACGGTATTGCATGGCCGTCTTGCAGTGGTGTCAGAACTGCAGAGGAAGAGGATGAGAAGCTGCACCGGAGCACGCAGCACCATCTCATGCCACTGCGCACCACAGGCGCAAACAACTGTTAGCGTGCGAGACTATGGCGCGCTTAGGGTACACACACGCACGCACGCACGCACGCGCACACGCACACGCACACGCACACGCACGCGAATACGCACACGCACACGCACACACACACACACACACACACACACACACACACACGTACCCTATGTAGTCATCACCCCGTCTGTGGCGCAAGTGATGATCTGGCATGTAGCCACTTTGTGTTTTTGCGAAGAACCGCGGCCCTGGGAGAGCGGGGAGTCCACTCCCCCCGTGCAGTCAACAGGCATCCCGATGGCCCCCAGACTCGACGGCTTGCGGCTGGAACCATTCAGAAGAGCACCCCGCCCGTCATCTAGACTCGGCGGCCAGCCTGGGGGCGGAAGAGAGAGAGGGGGCGGGCCTTCCGGCCTTCTGAAAAGTTTTCTGCCCTGCCGCCTCCTGAGAAGGCCTCATCCTTCTCACTTCCTCCCTCGCTCGCCGCCGATAAACGGACCTCCCCGAAGGCGACGGGTGAAACATCGAGGGCAGTCGGAGGGCAGCGGGGCCGCTTCATACCCACAGTGGCTTGCGCCTCTGGGGCGTGGGCGAGGCGAGAAGCGGCTGATCGGTGATCGGGTGACCTGGGTCAATGCAAACCCAGGTCAGTCGGGCTTTGCAGGATCCTGCATGGTCCTGCAGCAGGATCCTGCGCGCTAGCCCAGGTCAGCGCAACCCTTAACAGGGGATATCTCGACCCCTATCACAGGCTTCGTGTGATTTTCGAATGGACCAACAATTTGGGGCCAAACCCTGGGTTATACGAGGGGGGGAGGCGTCCATCCTCGATCGACCATAGAGGTGCGTCCGAACGGCCCCCTGGGGGTGTATTCCAGGGTTCCCCTCCTTTCCTTAGCCGCCTCATTGTTCGCGGAAAACTCGGGGGTCGGGATGGAAACATCGCCTGCGAGCCCTGGCTCTGCAAGACCCTGAGGGATCCGGCGCTCTGGCCGAGCCCCGCTTGCACAGGCCCTCCTCCCGAGGCTCCCGAGCGCGGAGCGCGGTGGCGCGGCGCCGGCAGCGAGGCGAACGCGAGGGCGGGAGGCAGCCCGCGTTTTTTCTGCCGGGAGGCATCGTGGCCGTGGGAGGGTGGGAGGGCGCCGTCACTTTTCAGGAGGAAAAACACAGACACAATGAATTGTCGATTCCCAGGAAGTATGGGAAAATATGGGAAGTGGGGGGGGAGACAATAATTCAGAAAATATGGGAAAATATTTGGAATCCTTTTATTTGTGTGTCCCAGGGCCCCTTCAACTTTTGAGGCAGCAAGGTATACGCAGAGGGCATCTATGCACCACCAGCGTGGCTGGCCCTGCCAGGCACGGTGGTGGTGCACGGATGCCCTCGTCGGAAGATGCGAGGATGCCCGCTCGGACGGCAGCCTTCGGTGGGAATGCTCCTCCTGTGTTGCGAAGGACCGTGGCCCTGGAAGAGCAGGTCCACTGTACCCTGAGAGTGAGAGTCGTGGTGAGCGACGCATGTGCAAGCTACCCTGAGTTAGAGTGATGAGTGGCAGTGTTGAGAGTGATGTCGTGATGGCGGTGAGCGGGAAAGAGAGGCTAGGTATGAGGTTACCCTGCGCGCGAACCGAAATAAAATACCAGCCCCACTTAGGCTGTAGGGAAAGATTGCGAATTCAAGCCCCCAGGGCAAGAACATGCGCAAAATGCACGAGATTCGCGTCATCGGGCGCGATCGTTAAACAAGTATAGAGGAACGACTCTCCCAGAGCCGCGATCTCTCGTACATGTTGGTGGGTTGCCGCTCCAAGGCTACTACACTTTATACATGTCAGTGGGCTGGCGCTCTTGGCGCGATAATACTTTGCAGAATGTTTGCTGTCGCGGACCCCAAGCAGTGACGTACTGCACACTGGACGTGTGAGCAACGTGATGCGAACTACACGGTGCAAGCTACGTGGTGGAACATATGCAGTGCGAGTGAAATGTGGTGCACGCTATGTGACGCAATGTTTGTGGTGTAGGCTACGTGGCGCGGTGCAAGCAAGCTATGAGGCACAAGCTGTTTGGTGTGAGCTGTGTGATGCAAGGTTTGTAGTACAAACTACGTGATGTAAGATATGTGGTGCAAGCGACGTCGTGCTATTGTGTGGTGCTGGCTTCGTGGTGCAAGCTAAATGGTGGAAGCTATGTGGTGCAACCTATGCGGCGTGAGCTGTGTGGTGCAAGCTATGTCGGTGCATCTGATGCTCAACTCCACGACACGCCCACGTTAGGGCAACTGGCGAAAAAACGTAACCTCCCATCACGAGGCGCCCACGACATACGAGGCGCGTACGGCCGGGACCAGGCGGGCACCTGGCGAAAGCCCGGAGCACCCATGCAATGACTTAGGACAGCAAGTGGAAACCCCTAAATACATAAACTGTTTGGGGAACTACCCGAAACGTCCCCAAGTTGCTTCTGCACGGCCGACGAGCCCGACGACGACGGCGACGAGGGATCCTTCGATATCTGGGGCAAGGGGGCTGGCAGCAACGAGGCCTCCAGATGCTCTCTGCTGAACGAACTTGCCCGTTTCAGCAACATCACTGCTGCTGCTGGAGCTCCTCCCTCCCGTCGCCGCCGCCACCGCCACCGCCACGTCCACCGTCACCGCCTCTTCACCGCGGGGAATCGGAGACGGGCCAGTTGAGACAACGACGGCTCTCCGGCCCGGCTCCAGTCCATCCAGAGCTGGTCCCCGGACCCCCCCTGGGGCCCAGCCTGACCCGCCATTCGATGCGGATCAGGCCGTGGCACCGGAGATAATCCAGGGGGGCCCCAAAACATGAACAAAAAAAAAAAAAACCCTGGGACACACAAATAGATACACACAAGTTAAAAGATTCCCCATATTCTTCCTCAAGCTAGGCGCGGCCACCATTCAACATACCTGAGACGGACGATCGTTTTTGCTGAGGACGCGTCCTTACACAGGACGAGGTGCACTTGAGATTCTATAATGCTGAGCTTGCGTGGCAGCTATGGGAAAAGGACCCGGGCCCGGATCAAATTACCAGAACAGACTGCGTAGCATTGGCTCCCCAGGGTGGGTAGGGAGGGAAGCCTTGAAACCAGAATGGCCGCGAGAGGGGAGAGCAGCAGCAGGGGCGACAAGCAGAGGAGAAAGAAGGAAGGGGTGGAGCCCCTCTCGCTTGGCCGCTCGACGCGGAGGAAAACTGCATCCAAAGATAATCATTCCTCAAGCTAGGCGCGGCCACCATTCAACATACCTGCGACGGACGATCCTTTTTGCCGAGGACGCGTCCTTACACAGGACGAGGTGCACTTGAGATTCTATAATGCTGAGCTTGCGTGGCAGCTATGGGAAAAAGGACCCGGGCCCGGATCAAATTACCAGAACAGACTGCGTAGCATTGGCTCCCACCCCCAATCATTTGTCACTGGGTGGGCGGGTTGGGAAGAAAAAAGAGAAAGGAAGAAGATTAGCTGGGCACCCGACTCGAACAGGCCACGCGAGAGACGAGGTGCCGCAGGTCCGCCGCCGTGAAATGGGCAGCACGTTGGCGGACGGCGGCGGGCACGGCCGCACGTTGACGCAAGAGTGAGCCGTGCTTTTCATAGATGCGCACAGACCTCTCGAGCGCGCCATCTTCCTCGCTGCTGGATCTGATCCAGGCTGCGCAATTGCTCCAAGGCATCGTGCGAGGGGCCTCCGTGCCGAAGCTGGTGAGGCACAGAGAAAACGTGGCAAAGGCCTAAGTCGGAGGCCGCACCTCGCACCATCCTCTCGTATGCACTGAGATTCAAGGGAGCAAAAAGCTCGGCTGCGTCTGCTCGGCCCCTACGAAGGGCAAGCAGCGCCGCCGGAACCTGGCGCCTGAGAGGGACAGGCGTGCCAGCAACGACAGTGCGGTCGAACTCATTCGTCTTGGAGGGCACTCCGCCTGTGAGAGGCGCGATGATGACGGAGACCTGGCCCCCTGCGCTCCCGTGGACGTCGCCCGCGGTGATGGAGAGCACCTCACTGGGCCGCAAGTACAGATCAAACTGGACGATCGTGGCCACGGCAGCGAGGGCCCCCAGTGGCGAGCGCTCCGAGAGGGCTGCCATGCAGGCGACCACGGCGTCGAAGGGGGCGGGCATCCTAGGATGCCGAGGCAGCTTGGCGCACCAGCCCGCCAGGGCGTCCTTGGATCGCACGAATTGAGGCTTGGCCACTGCCCATCCACGTAGTCGAGCAAGGCCGAAGAGAGCATTGCGAGCCATGTACTGAGGTGAACCAGAGAAGAAGAGGTGCTCGATGTACAGGTTCATTGTCGTGTCGGCGCACTTAGGGTCGTCAAAGGGAAGACGCCGGCGCCGTGCCCAGGCCTCGAAGTCGGCGACCGCCTGCTGATACTTTGTCAGGGTCGCTGGCCGCAACGAGGCCGTACGTAGGAAATCTCCCCGAGGCACTCGACGAGCTCGCCGCTGCTGCTCGGCGCGGTCCACGGCCGCCGCCGCTCGCCTGCGGCGCTCCGCCG